ACAAGTACGGCCGGGGGCGGGTTTCCGAGGATCCTGGATCCCCGCCGAACGCATTTTCGCTCTTACAATCTCCAATCAATGCTGTGTTGTGGCTCCCCATAGCAGCTCCAATCTAATTTGCTTCCGCGCCTAGTAACGTGTTTCAATCAATGGCGCACTACACGTTGCGCTGGAACAAGTCCTCTCCCTTTGCGTAGAGTTTTTGGGCCACTGCCTGAACGAAACCAAAAACCCAACAGGGACCACCTGAGGAAACTAAGTTACGGGCAGTTTGGTGCCCCTTCCTGTTTCCTCCCTGTCTAGCACTTTAGGTCTTGTGACGTGAGTAATCGCAAAAAGCCTAGGGAACCTGCGTGGGTAGGTAAATCAGGTTTCGCGTCGGGAGCTTCAAGTGAATTCGCGAGCATTCCGAAGAATCTCTCCTGCTTCCAGATCCTTGCCGAAAGATGGGCGCGCCAAAGGCCCGACTGTGGCTTTAGCGGCAATCTCCAGCATCCTAGGAGCTAAGCATCAACCTTACGTTACTGCGCCTCCACCTTGAAGCTATCGACGTGAGTGTCGCCGCGGATAACTCTTGGTGCGGGAGGTATCGTCTACATCTCTTCACCAGAGATTGTTCCTCCTACGCAGACACGAACCCTCTGTCGGGAAGATAACAACTGTTCGCCATGGTCCCGTTTGTTAGAGCAACTGTCTTCAGCATTCTTCTCTGGATGTTGATATTAAAGATAAATCCAAACGGGAAAGAAATACTAACCCGATCCAGAGCATCCGGCCCACAGGAATTCTCACTTCAAAACTAGCTAGTGTCGATAAATCTTGCCACCTTTCGGGAATCGAACCTAGGGCACTCCGTTTGAGAAGCGCACTGCGCAGTGATAATCAGTTGATTCGCCGTGCCACCTACGACGTGCATAGATACAGGCGAGCAGTAGACACGAGGTCTTTATTAATATACAGTTATTTACAATAAACAAATATGTACAATTGGGATATATCTTACACTTTCGCAATCTATCTCTGATACACCACTATTCTCCTGATTGGGGAGCGGATCATATCCGCATGATGATGATTAATTGGAAGCTCGCCGCTCCTAAATTGTGGCATGTAGCAAAGCCAGCTTCGCGGACCATGATACACACTCGGACACAAAGTCCTCACAACAATTGACTTGCCTTGATCACGCAGCAGCTAGTCTTGTAAGCCGATTGATGATCGTGTGAATCGTGGAATCTTAACGTCACTAATCACCTCAGAGCCTACGCACACAGCATCACACTCACGTGAACTGCGAGTCTACACATGGCACACAAGGTCAACGCTGCGTCAACACGACTTGCCTGCGAGCCGCAGCTCGCCGCTTGCTCAGGCTATTGCGCAAGTTTTTGTCTCATCACTGGCGAGTTCTTACACTTTACTTCAGAACCCACCCACTGTACTCTCCCTTATTTAGCTGTCGCCAACGGTGAAATTACTACGTCACGCTGCCTCTCGCATCCTCGAAGCTTGCACGCAGCTCGATGTATTTTCTCATTCCCTCAGCACGGAGGAACCCCAGAGCGTCCTCGCGTCTCTTTGCCACGCGCTAGCTTCACCAGAAAAGCTTTTCTCTCCCTCTTGCGGCAGTCTTTCCTGTTGCTAACTCCCTTTGCCCGTTGCTAAATATCTACCACGAGTTTTGATCGCAAGTACGTTACACACTTTCCGCGGTGTGACAGCTGGAGAATGCGTCCATGCAGGAGGCAGCCCTTTCCCACGGCGCTAATTGCTCTGAGCGTGGCATTTCGCTGAGTGCTGCGGTCATGCGCCTGTTTTCGGGCTCTCCGCGTGCTGCGGCCTCTTCGAGCCTGGGCCACGCCACAGACGCCTTGCAGGGTCGCGGGCTTTCGCAAGGAACTGGCCCTCTAGCCTCAGCGTCGGCAATCCGAGTCACCGCTGACAAGATCCACTATTCCGCACTTGGTCTTCTGCGTTTTAATACTTTTCATGCGACATGAAGTCTCTCTCGCCCTGAGGAAAATCCAGGGCAGCTCAATCACAGCTCAACAGTAACTCAACGCACTCAACTTAAACTACTCTGTATACGTACACTGGTTCTCTAGCTGTTCTGTACGTTCTAGAACTTCCTGATGCCACATTACCTGTTCGCGACAACGTAAACGCATTGCTACTAATGATGAAAAATACAGAAACGTTGCGTTGCATTGCCTGCATTTATCAGTTCTCCAAGGAGTTAATTTGCGATGCTAAAGATAATTATTCTTGAACACTTACACAATATGTAAGAAATGTTCTAGTATAAGATAACAAAACAAGAAGAAGAAATGGCAATTCATGCATAAACGTACATATTACTACTGTATTTTATAGTCATTTATTTTGGATTTCGAGTCCAAATTAGATTCGATAACTTGCATTTGTAAAATAATTAATCATTTTTAATACATTATTTTAAAATATACTCGTTTTACCAATTCACAGCAAAATCAGAAAATAATATAGTTGATAATCTGTCTTAATTTTTTTACAACACAGTTGCAAATGACAACTTTTCGTTCAGCTGACAGAGTAACGGGACATCCCCATTCATGCAACGAGGGTAACATAAAGCTACCGTTACAACCGGCATCTTTACAATGACTGACGCGAGTCCGTTAAGACAATCCAAAACCTGAGTTGCAGCTGAGGTGTCATATTGTATTCTCGTCTACATGTTTATTTTTAATTTTTGTGCTGATTGGTAAACGAGTATATTTTAAATAATGTATTAAAAATTGTTAATTATTTTACAAATGCAAGTTATGAATCTAATTTGACTCGAAATGCCAACATGAAATAATAAAAATACTGTAATAATGTACGTTTATGTATGATTGCATTTCTCTTCTTGTTTTAGTTATCTTATACCTAGAACATTTCTTACATATTGTGTAAGTTGTTCAAGAATAATATCTTTAGATTGCAATTAACTTCTTGGGAGAACTGATAAATTGCAGGTAATGAACTTGGCAACGTTTGGTATTTTTCATATTGGTAGCAATGGTTTATGTTGTCGGGAACAGATAATGTGGATCAGGAAGTTCTAGAACGTACAGAACAGCTAGAGAACAGTGTACGTATACAGAGTAGTTTAAGTTGAGTTGCGTTGAGTTGCGTTGAGCTGTGTTGAGCTGCCCTGGCTTTTCTCAGTGCGGAGAGACTTTCATGTCGCACTGAAGTATTAAACGAGAAATAACCAGTGCGGGAATAGTGAGTCTCGTCAGCGGCGACTCGGATGCCGCGTTGGGCTGAGGGCCTTCCTGCGAAGCACGCGACGCGCTGGCAGGCATGCAGTGCGTGACGCCCGGCTCGAACGAGGTCGCAGCACGCCGAGTGCCCGAAACAGGCGCTGGCCCGCGCACGCAGCGAAATGCCACGCTCAGAGCAATAGCGCCCGTGGAAAGGCGCCTCCTGCATGGCGCATCTCCCAGCTGTTCAACCGGGAGAAGTGTGTAACGTACTTGCGATCAAAACTCGTGGTAGATATTTAGGAACGGGCAAAGAGGGATTTAGCAACAGGAAAACACCTCGCCACAGGAAGGAGAGAAACGCTTTCTGTGAAGCTAGCGCGTGGCAAAGGGAGACGCGAGGCGCTCTGGGGTTCTCCGATCTGAGGGAATGGAGAAAACATCGGAGCCGCGTGAAAGCGTAAGCGAGATGCAGAGGCAGCGAGACGTAGTATTTCACGTGAGGGACAGCTAAATAAGGGAGAGTACAGTGGGTGGGTTCTAAAGAAAGTGTAAGAATCTCGCGCTGATGGACAAAACTTGCGCCAGGGCTGTGCGGCGGCGAGCTGGGCTCGCGAGGCAAGTCACGTGTTAACGCGCGTTTGAGGCCTTTGTGTTCCATGTGTGACTGCGGTCACGTGGGTGTGATGCTGTGTGCGTGCTCTGAGGCGAGGAGTGGTTAAGATTCACGATTCACACCGATCATCAATCGGTTAAGATAGCTCGTGCGATCAAGGCCAGTCATTGGTTGTGAGGACTTTGTGTCAGTGTGTGTCATCTGATCACGGAAGCTTGGCTTTGTGCAAGCTCCAAATTTAGGAGTGGCGAGCTACACGAATTATACCGATCATCAATCGGATTTTAATCGCTACAGAAATCAGGGGATAGTAGGTATATCAGAGCTAGTGCTTAAAGTGTAGATAATTTAACTGTAAATATTTGTTTTACTTGTAAATAACTGTATATATGAAAGTGTCTGTGTTCGCTGTACCTATGACATCACAGGTGGCTCCGGGAATCAACTGATTTCATTGCAGTGCTTCTCAACGGAGTGTCTTAGGTTCGATTCCCGAAGGTGGTTGGATTTACGACACTAGCTAGTTTTGAAGGAGAATTCCTGTGGCCGGATGCTCTGATCGGTAGTTCTACGTGGTTTCTTCAATCAACTCCAGGAGAATGTTGAAACAGTGCTCTAAAAACGGGCCATTGACAGTGTGTTATCATCTCTACAGAGAGGATCGTGTATGTGGACACAATCTCTAGTGAAGAAATGTAGACGATCACCCGGTCCATGAGTTTCTCCGCGACACTCACGTCGATAGCTGCAAGGTGGAGGCAGTGCGGTGGCGATGCTAAGTGCCTGGTCGCCGGGATTGCCCGATAACCCACCAGTCGGGCCAATGGCGCGTCGATACTTCGGCAGGATCGGGTGCAGGAGATTCTTCGGAATACTGTGGAATCCACATGTAGAAGTTCGACGGGAACCTGATACCACCCACCAGATTGGCTAGGTTTTGGCGGTACTCACGTCACAAGCCTAAAGGTGTAGACGGGAAGGGGCCCAAACCGCCCGAACCTTAGTTCTCGGGTGGTCCCTGTTGGGTTCTTGGTTTCGCCGTGGCAGTGGCCCGAAACTGTGGGCAATGAGAGAGGACTTGTTTCAGGCGCACGTGAGTGGTGAATTGATTAGACTCCGTTACTAGCACGGGAAGCTAGTAGAATGCAGCTACCATGGCGGCCCCAACACAGGCATTGATTGGAGAGATTGCCAAGAGCACAAACTGCGTTCCGGCGGGATCCGAATACCAGCCTGCCGACATACTTGTGTCCCGACGATGGGTGCGCATTAAGGCGAAAAACCATGTACGCGATCTACCACGGTACGCGCGGTGTCTACCTCGGTGACTGGTGCCCTCTGGTAGAACAAGAGTTGTGTGGAGTTGTAGTCCACGCAGGGTTCCATGTACGCGATCTTTCCTTCCTCTTTTTTGTCTTATTCTCACTCCTTACACACACGTAGTCTAACATGCACTACTCTATCATACATGCCGAGGGACCGGTCGGGAGCTGAGAGCTTGTGTCGACTGGGACGGTGCCCTGCTAGAAAGAAACGCGTGGTTGGGAAAACCTCGCTAGCCGAGGGTAGGTCAGCGCCGGATCTCAACATCAAAAGGGGGATCACCGCTACATTCCGATGAAATCTATACACTTCACGTACGGGATAAATTTCCTTATCCGTTCATGCCCCGGGAATTACTAAATTAATCAATCAATGAAATCTAACAGTTGAGTCCAAGGACTCCGAAATCCTCTGACCGCTCGTGTGTGTTTAAGAGAAGTTATTTTAAAAGTGTTCTGAAACGCTATTTGATTTCTTCCAGGATATTGTAGCTTTAATAGAAACATTTACGCATAAAGTGTGAGTCACGATTTTAAATTATAGCCCCTACGATTGCATTCTGTATGATACTATGTACTACTAATGTACTCTATTAAATATTCTATATATGACGCCTAAGAATACATGTTTACAAATATACTTCGATTCGAGTCCCCTTAATCACAACCTTCTGGACGTTCAAGAAGGAAACAATTTATCAAGAAAGTACTGGCCATAGATTAAGTGTTCATCAGCAAAATGTCATAAGAATCATTTGCTGAAGTTTCTTATGACATTTTGACATTTCGACAAGAATACGGTGACATTTAAATCTCATCTGAATTGAATAATATATTATTGAGAAGATTATTGGTAATTTTTAGTTTTGTAGGAGCCAAATAAGTACAGAAAGGTCTGGCAGAATGATCAGTTCAGTACATAGTTTTTTCCTCTGGAAGTGGCGGCGATCTTGCCTCGCTGGATGGTGAGATTCGGCATGACCTCTTCGGCTAGCGCATCCCCCAACCATTCTCTCAATATCGGGTAACAATCCCAACCGGGACAAGCTTTAAGCTCCCGACCGGTCTCCCGGTGTGTGTGGAAGTGCATTGCATGAATGTGTGTGTACGAAAGGTGTGTGATAATAGGACGATGTAGGAAAAGGAAAGTTAGGGCGTGGACCTTGGCTCTTTTTAGGGTATTTGGTCCAGCATTCGCCTGGGGTTGGTCGAAAAAAACACAGAAAACTACCGATCAGTGCAACCGGCCGCTAGAACTCTCTTCCAGACAGCGAGTGAATTCAACCTAGCTCTGTAACTAGTGTCGAAAATCCTGCCACCGCCGAACCACTCGAATCTAGGATCTCCGGGTCGGTGGCACTGCAGTGAGATCACTTGATGCCATCGAGCCATATCTGCTGGTTGGAAGGGATTTCGCGTGACCTTTGACCGAGAGGCCTTTGAATGCAAGTCCTCCTCTCAACCGGCTCCTTCCGCGCGCGCCTCCGCCGATCCCAGCGCTTCGCCGCTTTGATCCTCCGCCGCGTGAGGGCGCGCGCGTCAGCGGTGGTCGTCTGTGCGGTCCGCGTGTGGGAGCGGCGGCACCTGGGCGACAGGGGCTGCCCCCCCCTACCCTTCCACATGTCCCACTGGGGTGACAGCCCGTCCGATTAATTATCGTCCACCGCTCCCTGTCACATGCGGCGCAAATATCACAACCATCGAAAATGCCAGAGAGGAGCGAGCAGGATCTAAATCCTGCGACTGCAAAACTGTCCAATGCACATCGCAAACTTGACAAAATATCTAGTTTGCCTTCTAGAGATATATCGTAATACATGTTAAGCACTTCTAAGACATTTAGAGAGGTCGACAGTGATTTCCTTTTGTCAATCAACATGTCGAGAGGAAATTACATATTACGGAGTTTTTTCCCGTGGTCAGCATGTACACAAAACTTCATTGACGGCGACAAAAAGTGACCTGCCGAATACCCGTGAATAATCAATTTCTTAAAAAATTGTCTGAAATGTTGTAAGTGTAAATCCGTCATATGAAATTTTTGAACACATGTTCATTCTCCAGAAGTTATCATGTTGTGCAATTGGAGTTTCTGTATTTATAAAACAACAGCATTTTTTATTATTCCTGCAATAGTAGAAACGTAGACTGATTTGTGCTCACTTCTACTTCTGCAGTCACTCTATTAATCATTGGATAGCCGAATAAGTATATAATCATTAAAAGAATACTGTTTTATATGTTGATGTGAATAAATCGTGAAGTTTATTAAGAATAAGCGCTAGTCACATTCATTTGAAGATCGGTATATACATGCTTAAGAACGTAAATATGAAAAGGCGAACAAGAACGTGCTTCTATTCTGTGGCATTACTCAGTTTCTTTTCTCCATATTTACTTGAACTTCTTAAAATTTAATACCTTCCTAGACAATATTGTACGCAGACAGATTTATAAATGTATTATTACAAATATGAATGAAACACTTCACTTCTTATGAATAATTTCAAAGCAGCATCAGTAATTGATCTATTTAGGTATCATTGGTTTAATTCTCCGTCTACCCACTACGATCGCAGCACTAAAACACGCAAAAACAGGTTTTTGATAATTTCTTAGAATTTTCGTACTGGATCCAAAAGCAAATTATATTATTCCATGCGGAGACCGAGAAGTGTCAATGGCCGCTTCATATGTCTAGATGGTCTACGGGAAGTGGTCTAAACGTGAGTGACGGACGAACGGGCTAACAGAGGAATGGATACTCGCAGTTACTTAAATATTGTATATAAATTCCATGCACTAATACGTGTCTAATATATTCGTTTTTAGCAAACAGTGTCTGAAATAGATATATACAAAAGGAAATGAAAATTTTACCGTCTGGCAACGTGACAGTTTTACGTTTGCGACTATAGGCAGACATTGTGACACTTGCGTAGAACGGGTTGCGGCCACATTTTCCCTTGACAAGTCTACTTGGCTGTATCAGTTACAAATTGTAGTTTATTACAATTCTCAGTTTAGTCTATATTTAAGTAAAATGGCTAGCAGAAAAATATATTCTAGGCCCATTTTTAGAAAAAATCAGTTTTCTTGGATATCCATTTGTTTGACGTTACCACAAAATGCCTTTACAAATCCGTTTCACTCATGGTATCACATTGTATCTGTGGAATTTCACAGTATTTCCTTTTCTCTTTATTGTATACATAGTACAGAAAAAGTTATGTAATGTTGCAAAAAATCGATCTTGGAGGGAAAATTGGCATTTGGAGGGAAAATCACATTTGCTGGTCTCCGAAGCCGCAGATGTATTAGTCTTCAAAAACATCTTTAAGTTCTCCCACATATACATGAACGTCATTCGTACCTAAGCGGCACAGAGTATTATCCCCATTAAAGGATATCTTTGGATCGATTTGACTCAACTTGAAGCCCTGTGAATTTAGAAACGGATCTTTTAATTCTCCAAATAATTTGTATGTAGCTCAGGTACATTTTAATCTTATTCAAAACCGTTTTTTCTAAAATATTTTCATCAGAGTAAAAATTTGCTAAAAAATGTAAAAGTCTAATTTTTATTCAAGTATTTTAATACCAAAAAATTGGAAACGTTCAACCACCTTTTCAACCTCTCTTATTCTTTATTAAAGCAAGGTATTTTCTTTGTAATGAAATAAATTCTTCAATTTTACATTAAAATTACATTCAAACTATTTAGTAATTCTAGTGCAATTTTAAATTAAACGAACTATAAATATTTCTTTAAACGTATGGTCAATCCCAGGAAGTTTATGAAAAAATTTTAAATGTTAGCTCAATAATATGTTAATTATCAAATACCCACAAAATACAATCAAACAAACAGAAATCCAGTGATTTGTTTATACAGCATATCAGTGAATATTTAGGGCATTTTGTGTTAATGCATCATATTTGCATTATATGTAAGTTATTATTAATAGTATATTTAATTGCTTTTTAGTTCTAAATGTGCCGTATTTCTTTTAGAATTTCAATAATAAGCTAATTTGTCTCCTTAAACAGAAAAGTGTACTTCACAAATGTGAATGCGAATGCTATTCATGAAAAATAGTGGGAAAGTTTTTCGTTCGTTACAGCAGTATTTGTCTGAACTTCTTTTAGGTGATATCTTAAGGCTGGTACCCGGAAACGGTTTGACCGATTATGAATGATGTGATAGTTTATCTTTGGCAAAGATCATTATATTTTAATTTAACAATTATCGCTGGAATACTAAGAAGAGTACTTCACAAGATGGGTTCAAAAGAAAATATTGACAACTACCGGACGATGAAGAAAATCAACCAGAGGAACAAGCAGGTTTCCGCGCTAGCTACTGAACAATTCACCTCCTACAAACAATGACCCAACTCATAGAGAAACGTCAAGAATTTAACTTGCCAGTGTATGTCGCCTTCATAGATCTTTTGATTTTGTAGAGCAAGTGATTATCTTAAAAGCATGGATAGCAGTAGGAGTAGATGACAAATACATCTTATTACTAGGGAAAATATATTTATCAGCCCAAGCAAATATTAAAATGAATCTTGAAGGTCGCAAATTTGCTTTGAGACGAGGAATAAGGCAAGGAGATCCCATTTCCCCTAAACTATTTATCTGTGTATTTCAAGACGTTCTACGAAATATATCGGATAATTTTGAAATTAACATCGGCGAGAAAAAATATCTAAACTTGTGTTTGCAGACGACATTGTTTTAATTGTCAATTCATTAGAATCAATGCTCTTCTAACTTCTGATTCTTAGCAAGGAAGTAGGTCTACAAATAAATCTCAGAAAATTACAGGTCATGACAAATAGCACAAAAGATTGGTCATATGGAAGAATATGTACATCTGAGATAATCAATGTCTATCAATAATAACACCAAAACAGAATTAACCAAACGAATTTTAGGGGCTAAAATTTATTTTTTTGAATTTATTATTTTGAACAAATCCTACTGCTTGCGAATAAAGAGAGAAATCATAAACACTTGTGTACTTCCGGCGCTCACATAAGCCGTCTCTCACGCAAAAAAGAAACAAATGCCATTACGTCTACCTCCGAAAAATCGAAAGAGAAATTTTGAACACTACCCTGGCTAGTAGAATACGAAATGAAGACATAAGAAACGTAACACAAATCAATGACAATATGAAATTATCTCAACTGTTCGGCTCATGAAATGGCGTTGGGCATGTCACATCATGGGACTTTCCCATACCCGCTGAACTCTCCGAATTACCTCTTGGGATCCAAGACTTGTGAAGACAAATGTCGGCAGGCAAAAGAAGAGGTGGTAGGACGAACTGAAGATGCCAATGGTCTACCTCGGCAAAGGATCGTCAGAAGTGGAAGACTATGTCTAAATCCAACACAATGAACGTACAACACTACTACACTAGACTTCTTGTACTACACTACATTTTTCAATTTTTCACCAACTTAATAAGGGCCAATGCAGAAAGTAGTAAGATGAAGTGATATCTAATTCGATTCAAGTAGTGAAATCAAAATAAACAGTGTTAAAATTGACAGTAAAAAGTGAAGTGTTACTTATTGTCTGTGTAAATAGCGTTTACATTTCTTTATTTTGTATGTAAATAGCGTATGTAGAAGGTTCCCGACTTGGGTGCTTGCGAGTTCTACCATTATGTAACCCGCCCGAAAATCAGAGGCCCTTGTACTCTGAGATTGTAACGGGCTAAATAATAATAATAATAATAATAATAATAATAATAATAATAATAATAATAAAGTAGAGGAAAAATTCCAAAATTAATTAAAATTAAAAATTTTGTAATTGCTCATTATACGTGAAACTGTTAATTGTTAGAGCATAATTCACTAGATACGTTTGCCATTCATTTCACCATTTGCAGGCATATTTCTCCTTTTGATACAGCATTAACATCCGATCCTTATGGTACAGATGAAACACAACATCAATAAGTATAAAATAGCATAATTCTATTTCAAATACTCAACCAATTCACGTATTCAATAACCGTTTTAACATCATGGAAATCATACTATTTCTGTTGCAGGCACATTACATTATTTAATGCATTTTCAAATAAAAATTATTCTAATCATCTGTTATAAAATTTCTCGAAATATCAATGTTAGTGGAGTAAGGACGTGAATTGCAAAGCGCAACCTTGAGATTTCCCGAGTCAAGCTCGATATCTCGCCTCGATACCTCGCCAATATAGTCTCGGGCGATATTTTTTCCTATCCTTTAAGAGTAACGCTTTTTCAAAAATGTGCACACGACCTTTTCTCAAAAATGAGTTCTATTAGGCAAAAAATGAGTATACTTTTCCTTTATGTAAAAGATACGAAAATGGCGTAAAATTTACAATATAATAATACTTTACAGTGTTGTTTTATTGTCACTATTTGGAGAGGTAATTACGTCAGAAATATATTCCACATAGTACCTGGATCCATGATGAGACTTTGTTACTGTGTACCCAATGTATATGAGTAATTAAATGTTTTCGAAGATTTCAAATCCTCTTGATTGAGACTCTAACTCTGGTCCCGTTTTACGCCAAATTGCTCTAACCACTGAGTGATCGTGACTACTATTTCTTTGAATAGTTTCTTGTCTGTAATGATTGTCCGTCGTATGTTATTTCATTGTCAACTGCTTGTCATTTTTATTGTAGAAAATACAAATTTAGTAATTCTATTTTTTCGTTCATATTACACCAATCTTACTTAGTTCTGTTATTTGCAGGGTATTCAAGAAATCTTCGCCCAACAGTAAGCTGACGCTCTATCTGAGCAACCGAGATCTCAGCGTAACCGGGGACTACATTGACAAGCTGCAAGGCGTTGTCCTTGTTGATCCAGATTATCTACAAGGTCGAAAGGTAAATAAATATATTTCACTAAATAAGTCTTTTCTAGATTACAAGTCATGACGGTGGCGGACTTTCGACACTACCTACATAACTATATCGAATTCAGCTGTTGTCTTGAGGAGAATTATAGAGACCAGCTGCTTTGATCGGTAGTTTTCCGTGACGTATGCGACCAACACTTGGCGAATGCAGGAGTGGTACCCTAACAAACATGCCACGGATTGCGCGCGATCTTTCCTTCTTTTCCTTGTCCTTTCCTCACCCCTTTCTTGCAAATGCTTACACTTGCGTACACTAAACTACTACACATACCGGACGACCATTCGCGAGAAAACAGTCCATTGTGATTGGAGGGCTGTCTTCTTGGGGAGATACCTGAAAAACGAATTTCCCAGCAATCTGACGTGTAACTCTGCGCCAAAACTCACCAACCAGAGAGGTAGGAACAGCGCCACCGCTAGGCAATAAAATCATTCTCTACACGGAACGGAAGATGACCATAGTAGTGGTCGAAAACATTAATTGATTTTCTCTGAATAGGCAATTGAATTTTATTGCATTCTATACCTTACAGTTTTTAACATTTTCTAGCGATTTTCAGCATACCACTGATCGCATTCAATAATGTTGAGAAATATAATAAGGTTTTAGATCGTATTTCTTACATGGGCTGTTGATAGACATCTTTTGTCGGTTTCGTAAAACCAGACGATTAATAGAATACCACCTTATTTACGTTGGTTGGAAGAAACGATGGTTGGTGTTGTGCGATAGATTTTCAATAACTAGCAGCTGAACAACAAAATGATATTATAAAGAAAACATTTAGTACAATTCCTTGAGTAAATCGTACACAAGGATTTCATATAAAATACGACGCAATATAATTAAACAAGCATAAACAAAAATATTTCCAATGAAATAATTAAAATTCAAGAAATTGAGATGGAAATTCTACGGAGGAAAGTTATAGAACTGCCATATACTAGTAATGACCGACGGTGGTATTCGAAATGTACTCGAGCGATTAATTCATGATGTAAGGAAAAAGAAGAGAGAAAGATAAAAGGAAAGAGAGGGTGAGTTATGGAAAGGGAAAGCGAGAGGGTGAGTTAGGGGAAGGGAAAGAGAGAGGGAAAGTTAGGGAAAGGGGTAGAGAGAGTCAGAGTTAGGGAAACGGTGGAAAGAGAGAGAGTTAGTGAAAGGAAAAGAGAGAGGGAGAGCTAGGGAAAGGGAAAGAGAAGGTGGGAGGTAGAAGATTGTTACATTTTGCTAGTTGACAAAAAGGGCTTTATAGAGGAATACGGCGCCTGCCCAGCCGCCACCACGCGACACCACCCTCCGTCGCAGTTTCTGGTCCGAAGCGCCCCGCCCCTCCCTGGAGGTCTAATGGATGAATGTGACCCTTCGTGGGGAAGCAGGCGAGGAGATACCGCCGCGGACGATGGGACAGCGTCGCGGTAAGGTGGTCTGGCTTGGGGCGTCCCGCGGGGCACGGGATACGCGCATGGGGCTTCACCCATCACCGCCCCCCGCGCCGCCCGCCGCCACCCGCAGCTCTGCCCCGTGCTGACGAGGCGGTTGTTCGAGAACAGAACCCGCGCCGCCAGCGCTGTCAAGGTCCTTCCCTGCCAACGGTTGGTCGTCTGCGAGGTGGGGCGTGGGGCCGGGAAGGCGAAGATGCTTACCATAGAGGAAACAACGGGTTAATCACGTGTCCCAAAGGTTGTGACCTCTCTAGGAGGCAGTTCATTCTGAAGAAGAGTTGTTATACAACGTATGAGTGACGCGAAGGATAAAATTTCACAAAATCAATTATTTTAAAAAAGTTTAACAAGGAAATAATTAAGTAAAAAGTGATGGAATAAGAAATAATAGCAAAAAGAATGTTTTACATTCGTCTATTGATATACTATTCGAGTTTGCACATGCTTATCTTGCAAGATAATTACCCTCATTCATTTGTAGGGATGTTTGACATATATAGTAGGTTTTTACCACAATACCGTCACTACAATGACAATAACGATTTCGCACGTGCTATAAATAGACCAAGAAATATTTTGTCCAATTGTAAATGCACGGGAGACTTGTGGTTAACTGTGCAGATGGATTGTAGAAAGATCAAGTGTCATTGAAATAGAAATAGAAATAGAGAATACGATATGCATTTCTTTCTAAGTTCTTTCCTTTGAACGACTTTGGGTGAGTTTTTTTAAATCTCTTGTTTGTTGTTCTCGACATTTTAATAAATATTAATGTGAAATTAAAGTTAGTTAAGTTCGTAACCATTTTATCTCAGGTGTATTATTATAATCGGATTTTTTTCATTCTAAGTAGCCTCAATCGCAGTAAACACAGATCGTGAGTTTACTGCAGTATCCTGATCTAGGTTCCATGGACCATTGGCGTTCTTAGACGAGTGAAATGGGCAGTGATATTTGTGACATTTCAATTGAAATACTCTTAGATTTAAATTATATTTATGTTTTATTAATATAAACAAATACCGCGAAGCATTTTACCACAATGCTTAGAACACGACAAACAATATTAGCATTTCTCTGAACCTAGAACTTCCAGACTGGTCGGTTTCATAAACGTTCGATAACGAATAGATAAGCTTGATGGTTCTATAAAATAGTTCAGGGGAGGCTCTTGCAAATCGTATCCGACTTCAGCCAACGAGACTGAGACACCAGAATTTGTCACAATATTAACAGGAAGTTGAAATAAAGACAGATACAGAAAATATTACCTCGTTACAAGACATTGAAACAGATTTATGATGCATTTCTTTTAAATATTGCATCTTGTTATTATATCGTATTATTTTTGGTTGGTTACCATTGAAAATTGTCACTTTGTACCACTTTCGAAATATTTCTCAATCCTTCTCGCTCTCCATGCAACATGGCCACCATCTTCAAGTCTGGCATTTCAAACGAAGTGCCCGTGCTCTGGTCACGACGTTCGTGACGCAAACTGGTGTTGCGCAGAGCAAGCAAAATTCGGTGCGCGTGAAGAACTCACCCATGTATTTCTACCATGAAGCAGTCTATAGCGGCATAAAGGGTTTCTGGAACAATCAATAAGACTTATGGAACCCACAAAGCTTTCTATATCTTATAGCCTCTGGAAAGGTTCATGGAAATGGCTCTAGAAGCAATTTCCATTAAGTTACATATTTCCATATGCAAGGAACAGTTTCTCCAAAACCATGGGTAGTGGGTGTACGAAACTATCAGCTTATTAACAGTGGTTTCACTTCTTATTACCCATGGTTCAGTCTTCATCGCAACATAGACATTTAACAAACCCACTGATATTTTGTCAGGAATGAAAATTATTTTTTTCAAATATAAAAAATAAATAGTATAAAATAAAAATAATTTTGAAACCTATTCTAAATATTAAACTTTCCCTCTTTTAACGTGATACTAAAGACTCAGTGTCAATGCTGTGAATATTTTAATGCTCTACTTTTAATAATTTCTGAAAAAAGGTACATAAAATATGTTGATTTTTTTTGCAAAGTCAGTACAGACACCTTCGGCGCCTCTAACCTTATATATTAGGGTATATTTTTGAGGTATATAAAACGTACGTATTACGAAATATTAAATCAAAATATGAAAATTAAAACAATTACATTCCAGGTGAATTTAAATTATTTTAATTATGCATTCCTGATTATGTGTATAAAACCAGGCATAGCAGGTTCCTTTATCCACAATAAAAAAATTATTTCATTGTTTACTCTTTTCCAAGCTATTTAGCGAGGATTAACACTGTACTCGTCATCATTTTCTGTATATTATTAATTAGATACAAAAACCATTTAAAAAACATAAGATGTGTCTCTAGTGAACTTTTTTTTGTTGAACTTTTTATTTGTTCATTGCTGTGGGTTTACGGGCCAGAAACAAAACACGTAACGGTATTTTCAATACCCTGGAGGGCCTTTATGATTCTTTATGCCCGAGGGAGTTTTTGAATATATTATGTCCCGCTGTAATACCATCACAACACATCATTTTTATGCATTCGATTTATTAAAGTTACGATACAAGCAAATATAACAAATAAATGGCATAACGATGAAATAAGGAAAATAACTAGTTGTAAATCACTTTTTGCTTAATAGATATGAAAATTACTATTTTGAAATGTTCCTGTGAATTTATAATTGCTATCAGTCACTTATATTTCACTGTTTTTTAGAGATATATGTACATCTTGAGTAGCAGTACTACCAGTAGTAATAAAACATCGCATCGCTAATATCCTCGGCACATCGCTAATATCCTCGAAATGTTACTGTTTGAAGTTATAAAATGTTCTAAATAACTTTTGAAGATAGAGGCTAGTAATAAATTACCAGTTCAATTCACACGTGTATTTTCCATAAACATCTCAAATACACCATAATCATTTTCAGATATTTCTAATTATTTTTCTGGAAACCACTCTCCGTAGCTTTGTTAGCTTTTCAGGGACTTGTCGCAGGAACTTCACCACATTTTTTAAATTTTGTACGAACAAATCATTCCAACAATGAGTATGCAGTAATAGTTAGATACACCTAGTTCTGTTTATCTGACGTCTTATTGACAAACGACTATTACAATGCGTATGTTCACTTTAGACGCAAGAGAAGTTATAATATGTTTCGAATTCTCCTATGGTTCAGCAAAGAACTAGTAAACCACAAAGTTTTGTATGCACCACTGGCGTTACTAGATGTTTTGCCCCTCAGCCAACTTACAACCCCTGGGGCCCTCGGGTTTGGAAGACACCCGCGGAGCAAAAATATCTTCTTAACGCCCTAGATACATAAATAACTATTTCTTGATGACAGGAAAACATTACTTTGGGTGGGGGGAAATATTATTTCAATCAAAATATTTTTAGGTGACGGAAAAATGGGCGTTAAATGGTTCTAGTGATGTCGGGTTACAAAAAGCCATCAGACCAAAGACTCTCAGAACACAGCTTTCGGGCGTTAGGTTGCCGCTCGATTATCAGAACACTTATTCCCCCCCTTCATGCGTAAATAACTATAATCGCTCCGAGAAAGCTGAGAAGGAAGTGTCAGCTTTACTGCACTCATATGTTGATCATTAATATTTCACAGCGCTTTTGGGGGCTAAAGGAAACCTTTTTTTAATGAAAGTATAGATCACAAGGGAAAATATATTTCTCTTTTGTTGTTATTTACATAAGTCTTTTTAAACTAAATTGACGCTTCACGTAGGCGGACGCGATGATTTAGTCGCGCGTCTCACGGACACACGGACATGGTCAATGGCACACGCCAGCAAGGGCCAGGATTGATCCATCAACTGATTAGTGATTCCGGACGCGTCAAAGTCATTTGTAACTTAAATGACTGTCTTTTGATAGCCGGAGGAGGCGGTAATAGAATGCTGCTGGATTTTGAGATCCGGCGTGAACCTATCAGTCGGCTTGCGGGGTTTACCCCAACCAGGTATCTCCCATCAACGGGGCGCCGCCCCAGCTGGAAAATCTCTAAGCTCCCGGCTGGTCTCCTGTCATGTGTGGTAGTGTATTGCTTGCAAGTGCAGGTGTGTGTTCGTAAGAGTTGAAGATAGGACAAGGAAGAGGAAGGAGGACAAGGAAAGACAGCGCGCGTATCTTCGCTCTTCTTGGGATACTGCACCGGCATTCGGCTAGACCATGATTGGAGAAATCGAAGATCTCCTCTTCCACACAGCGCTGAATTCGACCTAGCTATGCAGCTAGTATTGCAATTCTTGCTACCGTGGGAACTGGAACCGTAGGACCTCGCGGTCAGAGACAGTGCTGTGACATCAATTAATGTCTTGAGCCACATGAGCCGGTACAAGTAAGAGCCAGGAGTCCAGACATGGGCAGAGCAACTGATGGACCGTTTCAACCTCACAAAGTGGGTTGGCGTAAGCCCATGTGAACGGGGAATGAAAATGATAGTTCTTTCTTTATTATCCCATTGCAAGTGCACTCCTATAATCAGACTTAATTGGCTCAGGGCAACAGCTGATGTCACTGCAATGCCTCTGACTTGGAGTTCCTAGGGTTCGAGTCTGGACGCTGGCAGATTTTCGGCAGTAGCTATTTAGCTAGGGCAAATTCAGCAGCTGTGTAGAGAGAAATTCCAGCGGCTGACTGCTCTTACCGGTAGTTTTTCGTGGTTTCTCCGATCCTTACTGGGGAAAAGCCGGAGCATTATCCTAACAAACGGGCCACGAACCGTGCGCGATGTATCCTTCTTCCTTCTCCTTTTAACACTTCTTTCAACACACAGTTGCTTGAAGTGCACTATCACAAATGGCGGCCGACTAAATGAGAGCATGGATTTTGTCCCGACTGGGGCGATGCCTTAAGGAGAGATACCTGTCTGAAGAATACCCCAGAAAGGTGTCGTGTAGGCCTAAGCCGGATCTGGGAAGATCACCGCCATCTCCAGTAATAAAAAGACAAAAACAATTTTGGGGCTATTGATCATATACGTTAACGCGCTCGAAACCGCTAATTAATCTGTCAATCCACGCCTAGAATCTAATTTTTTGTCTTTATTTTGAAGTTTATTATGCTATTGGATTCTTTAATTTCCACCTCTTACCACATTGCAAGTTTAGTTATAGACTTTTATTTCATCTTTTTTCTATCTTATTGCGATGTAGCCCTAGAGTGGAGTGGAGTGGAGTCCTAGCACGCTGACCCGAGACCCACGGTGTGCTCGTGTGTGGTTGCAGGTGTTCGGGCAGGTGACGCTGACGTTCCGCTACGGACGCGAGGACGAGGAGGTGATGGGGCTCAAGTTCTGCAACGAGGCCGTGATGAGCCTCGCGCAGCTCTACCCTCCGCCGCCCATCGACCTCTGCGCCCCACCCACGCCTCTCCAGGTGAGCACATTCGTCTCTTTTTAGATTAGGATTCTTCTACTCTTTCAACTCCTCGTCATCGTCCTCTTCCTCCTCCTGTCGGTGCTCTACCCTCCGCCACCCATCGACATCTGCGCCCCACCCACGCCTCTCCAGGTGAGCACATTCGCCTTTTTTATTAGGAATCGTCTACTCTTTCATCTCCTACTCCTCATCGTCCTCCTCCTGTCGGTGCTCTACCCTCCGCCGCCCATAGACATCTGTGCTCCACTCACGCATCTCCAGGTGAGCACATTCGCCTTTTTTTATTAGGAAACTTCTACTATTTCATCTCCTTCTCGTCATCGTCCTCCTCCTCCTTCTGTCGCTGCTCTACCCTCTGCCGCCCATCGTCCTCTACGCTCCATCCACGCCTCTCCAGGTGAGCACATTCACCTCGTTTTTCGCTTCCGATGCTTTCTCTTTTCACATACTTCGTTTTCCTTTTCTCATCCTTCTCCTTTCTTAGCCACGGCCCATCGTCATCTGCTCCTCTCACGCTCCTGAACATGAGCCCATTCACTTTTCTTTTCATCATACCACCTCTTTCTTCTTCCCCTCCTTCTGACGCAGGTCTACTCGCCGCCTCCCATGGATGTATTCCCTTCACCCACGTCTATGAAGGTGAAGGTCCATTTTCTTCGCTTTCCATTTTGAACTCTTGTCCAACTTCACCTTCTTCTTTTTCGTCTCCTCCCCTTCAACTCTGAAGTAGATCTCCGCCCTCATCAACATATACGTAGCGCTGATGCTCCGCAGGTGAGTTTCTCTTCATCCGTAGACTGCAGACAAACGCGTGTGAGGCAAAGGGGTGTTTATGCGGTATATAAAATGCGTCAGCGTGCAAGGATCTGTGACACTTTTCGTCACGTGCCTGATAACATGATGTACCTCTACTCCATTATTGATCGAGGTTTACTAGGGTTCGAATTCTGACGTTAGCGGATTTTTGACACATGTTCTTGCGTCAAATTCAGCCAGTGTCTCACGGAGCATTCCAGTGATGCACTGTTCTGTACTTTAGTTATTCTTGGTGTCTCCAATTGTACCATGCGCGTGATGTGGCAGTACCCTAACGAATTATCGACTGGTCTCGGGCGAGCTTTGCTTCCTCGTCATTGTGCGGTCAGATTTTAATGAACTAAATCATTGGCAAACATGATCAATAAAGCGCTTTTAAAATATTTTCAAAATGCCTTAAAAGCAAATGAAAATTATGTAAAAAATGGTTAAAAACTATTTCAGATGAAAAATGCAAGCTGTTGGATATGTTTCTGAAGTAATCGAGGCTTCTTCCTTTTGTTCAAGTAAAGACAGTTTGCAAACTGTTGGTTTGGTTTTGATTTGGACTGTACTGTACCAGGAAATGCATCTTTAGTAATCCTGAAATCGGAAAAATGCTTTAAATATTCTGTAAAAAGGAAAAATGTATAAGTAGTAGAAATCGACGAAAATGCCACAAAAGTCTGAATAATGGTAATTTCCTTTTGTCATAACATTAAACTAATGTCTATACTGAAAGGCATTGTATTAAAGTAAAGAGAAATAAAAGACATTTCATTAAACACGCCTTCTGATCATTGTACACCCTTCTAACCTTATACACACACATTTGCTCTACATAATCGTATGTGTCGGGCCATCAGTTGGGAGTTTAGAACTTGCTCCGGATGGGGTAATGACCTGGCAGGAAATACCCGGAGGAGGAAAAGCTCAGGAGTAAGCGAACCGGCGCCGAATCTTACGTTCCCGCAGAGGAGGAACACTGCTACCTCACAGAATATAACATTCTCTACTTTGTACACTTCCGGGACCAATGATCTTAGTATTTGCCATACCCGTAAATAGCTACCTCAGTTTCGCAACGTGCTGAGCTATATGATGTGACCTTCTGTGAAGCAATCACCTTATGATGATTTGATGGCTACATTACAGTATATGATCGTGACCTCAAGACAAGACTTCTCTTTCCAGTAAGTGATTCGTGTTGTATGAGTTTCACCATCTGTCGTGAACGTGGTGCAATGTATTTAGTAGTCCATGGCAAACGCGCGACATGTCATAAACTCTTTATGTTGTTAGTACTAAAGTTGATTAAATTTGAAATATCGTGAGTTGTAGTAACACTTGAGGGTATAGGATAAAGGATACAAGAGCCAACAACACGTCAACAGTGAGTAATTTATCTTTTTCGTAATACTAATACTTTTACTTCTAACATAATCTTGTGCATTTTCATGTGTCTTAATTCAGCAGCTAATGAGCTTGTGTTCAAAAGAAAACTTCAATAGTTAAACACGACAACGAAAAATGTTAGTTCCCGTCCTTTGAGTTACAGTTTTTTTATTGTAATTTTCTGATTTTAGTGCTATTAAATTTTAATTAGAGCGAAGTATGTCCGTTGATTTTCCGCGCGAGTTCTTATTAAATCGGCAAATAAGGAGATAACCATTTTGATATTGAACGCAACAACCATCACGCCAGCTCCTGCCCTGCCCCCCCCC